GAAACGGTAAGAAAATGGATTGTCGAGCTTAAAGGGAAAAAATTCATCTACTTGTAGCCAATTGTCCTGCTCATCCTGCATTGTGCGACCTTCAAAACATTGAACTTTGTTTCCTGTCAGCAAATACAACAAGAGTTTGAAAAGTCATTACAGGAGAAGACTTTTGATGGAATTGGTTCAGAACAATGGCGATATTAAACTAAACGTTCTTAAAGCCATCCTAATGATTATTAAATCCTGGGACAAGGTGACGAGCAATACGATAAAACATTTCTTCAAACACGCAGGATGGCTGAAAGATCAAGGATTGACTGAAGATGATATGCCGTTAGCTGTTTGGGCGAGATAGTTTTAACTTTCTATCACCTACGGAACGGAAGAGCTATCATATTTTGAAGAAGTTTCTGACGAGAACATCCTACAAGCAGTTCATGTAAATCTATGTTGCGTACAGTATACATATTGAACGAATTTAAAACGGATCATCAATCAATTTAATATATGTCTGTTTGAACTGCATTTGAAATAGTGGACCAATATAAAACTTGGACAAAAATAAATCCATACCTGGGTATAGACATTGTATAAAATATCGTTCAACTATCTGCCTCGCAACAATGTTACAATGTTGTTTGCGTAAAGGAAGCGATAATAGTTCAGGAAATGAAGCTCGAAAAAAGTTAAAACTTCTCAATTTTTTCGTCCTGCATGCATTGAGTTGAAATTTTAACAGAAGGTAGGTGATAGCTTAAGGATCAAAATCTATATCGAACCGAAGTGCGCTGAAGGGTTTTAGGGGTGAAAACTACCCCTAATTGTCAAAAATTATAAAATAACATATTAAACCTGAATATGACTAAGATTTGGTTTGAATTAGTTAAATAATGATTATTTTATACTTTTGAATAGAGTTCCATCATATTTCAACCCTTAAAAAGCAACCTTGTTAGAGATTAATGTAAAAAATTACTAATTCTAAAAAATGATTTTGCATTGGATCGATTTGGATAAAAATTTGGATTTAAGCTCAATTCACCCACTGCTTTATAGTTTATGTCATGTCGACGAACCCTGATTATTATTAGGGGTGAAAACTACCCATAGTTGTCAAAAATTATAAAATAACATATTAAACCCGAATATGGGTAAAATTTGGTTTGAATTAATTAAATAATGATAGTTTCGTGCTTTTGAATAAAGTTCCATCATATTTCAACCTTTAAAAAGCGACCCTTGTTACAGATTAATGTAAAAAAAAGTAGTAATGCGAAGAAAATGATTTCGCCTTTGAACGATTTGGATAAAAATTTGGAATTAAGCACAACTCACCCTCTGCTTTATAGTTTATGTCATGCCGATGAACCCTGATTGTTCTTAGGGGTGAAAACTACCCCTAATTTTCAAAAATTGTAAAATAATATTACAAATCTTAAGATGAGTGAAATTTGGTTTGGATTAGTTAAATAGTGATTTTTCTATACTTTAAAATACAATTTCATACATTTTCAACCCTTAAAAATCAATTGTTATGAGTGCTATAGGTGAAAACAATTTTTTGCCAAAATTTTGCAACTTTTCAACTTTTGAATATCACCCTTTATAACATTGCAGTTTTTATAAACTAATTTAATAGATATAAATTGAAAAAAGTAGAATTAAATACAAAAAATTTATCAACATAAAAATTCACCATATATTCTTATACATTTACATAAATAGTTGGAAATATTTACATTTATAACAACAACAACAAAAGTTCATCGGGTGCAGGTTGTTTGTTCATGCGTACGGGTAATAACAAACCATCTTTGGATAACCATCCCCAATCTGTTGCTCTGATATTTTCATTGCCAAGCCATAGACATATGAGCAGATGTTTTATTCTGTTGTATGGGATTTCAAAATAAGAACGCTTAAAATTTCGAATGTATAACGCCCCACTACCTAATATACCGGTTTTGTAGATTATTATGCTCCAAAATGTACTGTACTATAATAATGGAATTTTCCGGAAAAAAAATTAATTGCTTTTTTTAACGTATTTCCTTCATTTTTAACGATAGAGTGTTTCTCAAAAACGGTTTTGTAGAGGTTTTTAAGAGCTACAAGGAACTGTGAATTAAATCTTTTTGGAACCCTTGGTTTTTAAATGGGGTTAGTTTAAAGGGGTCGACAAAGATGGTGCTTGATAGTAAATCGATGCTTTAAACGGCTATATCTCGCCAAATATTCATTGTACAACAAATCTAAATAAAGGAAAATTTTAGTCATTAAAAAAGCTACAATTTAGTACATTTTTATTTTTTTCATATATTCAGTATTTTCGGGGATATTTAAAAAAAGAAGGGTAAAAAATATGAAATTGTAAATCGTTTCTCGCTTTATGCTGTACTTTTTCTAAAACTAAGCATTTTAAATGGGTCAAACTTCTTGGACGTATTAACAATACATGTACAAAGAGAATTGCAGAAGGGTGAAGATCGATGTTAACTATGGGGGTGGTTAGGGGGTTGTTTTCATCGATTTTTTCTTAAAAAACTAGGTATTGACCTTATTTTTATTATAACTCACTAAATTTTTGAGCTAGAGTCTTTTTTATGATAGGTCTATTTATGCTCTTAAAAAAAGGTTGTGTGAGTTTTCTTCCAAAAATGCATCATTTTCCCGATATTTAACTTTGAAACTTTTAAATTTGGCATTTGAAGAAAACCGCTGAACATTGATAGGCCGTATTTCGGTTCCTGTTATATCGCAAAAACATTTTAAAAAATTAATTGTATTTGTCTTTTTAAAAGCTACAAATTTGTTCTCTACAATTTTTTTGATAAAATGCACAATTTTCGAGTTATTCGCGAAAAATCGATTAAAAACGTCGATTTTTTTCGTCTAAAAGTTGTTACTTTCAATCGCGAATAACTTGAAAAATATCAGTTTTACAAAAAAAATGTATAGAACATTTTTTGTTTAGAATCACTTTTTTAATCGAAACTTGTAGTTAAAACGTAAAAAAAAAATTTCACCCCCGAGATGGAGTGGCAACCACCCCTAAGGCTCAATCCACGCATGGACGAAAAAATTGCGAGGTGAAATGCTTAATTTCCTGGACTATAAGTGGTTTGACAGCATAATAAAATCGTAGATTTATGTGTAGCTTTCAATTTTTATGATTTCAGAATCCAGCAGCCCGTTGAAGTATTGGATTTTTATAATAGAATTATTTGACAACCTTTTGTTGGTCAACCAGCTACAGCAGAATTGAGCAGAAATACATAATATTTCGTATGTTCCGAATTTATTTCGTTCAATCTGTATACAGTGTTAATTCATTCATAACTGTTTAACCAATTTTTTAAATTACAATAGGTTATTTAGTGCAGTATGATTATTATTACAGTAACGATTTTTGTCTTTCTCTGTATAACGATCTCTCCTTATAATGATAAAAATTCTCGGTCTATATCGTTATAGATAGAGAGGACTGTATTATATTTATATAATAACTAGATTGAGTTCGAAATCTTTTTCACGTGAGTTACGCTAACACCAAAACGAATCGTGAGTTGTTTGATATTTGAGAAAGTTGAGATCGGTTTTTCTTAATTAAAAAAACATTTTTTTTTAAATTCAATTTTAATTTTGTGTAAAATTCTAACAAAAATGTATAGTTTTTATCACCGTTTATTCCAGTGTATAATTACTAGCGATGTTAATTTTACTTCTAAAAAACCTACCTCATTTTCAAAGAGCCTCCTATCGAATGTATACTGTCGCTGGTTTTCCAATCTCATGATGACTTCTTCGCCGCCCTTCTCCTTAGACCAGATGCAATGGTAGAACGCGAACAATTGCTCTACCTGCCTCGGGGGTTCTGCGGCTCTAACGATTTGATCACACCACATTTGACACTTCTCATTGTTTTCGAAAGTGCATCTAAAAATAAAGACAAAACTCGCGTTTTAGATTTGTATGCAGATGAGCTCGTTGCTTGTTTTTGTTTTCAACTTGATCGTTTAATATTTATGAGTATAGCGATTCCGTCGAGGCAACGGTCATGTTTATGCCTTCTCAACGCGTAACAAACGGCACGTTGCGTTGATTAGTAAAAGGCTATAAAATGGAATATACGAGGTTTTTTGCTTACCTTTAGAGACAAAGAAGGAAAAACAGATATTTATTCATTGAAAATGGATTTTTTTGGTTTTAAACGCATTAACCACTTATTTATATGTCTATAAATGTTGATTAATCAATTTATTTGTAATAGACAGAAGTAAAATAGTCACTTGGTGCTAAATCAGAAAAAACTGGTGTTCCAAATCCAAAGTTGCTAGTTAAAGTTAATGTATGAGAGCTCGCATCGCCGTAGTGAAGAATGATTCGTATTTCTTAAGAAACTCCACAGGAAATAAATGTGGATGTGTAGAAACATTAGGTCACATACAGTCGGTTCGTTTTTCATACAAGGAAATTTTACTGCACGGAAATATTTAAATTTACTACACAACCTCCTGCCCTCCAGATTTTTCAATTTGTCTGTATGTTTGTAGAATGGAGGTTGGGCTGGGACTTAAACGATTAGCTACAACTCGTAGCAATAATGGTCGTATTGTAGTCCTTGAGATTGCCGATAGGCTCTATTAATAGAGGAGAAGGTGGTAATATGGCCCCTGCATATTTTATGGCCCCCCTCCGTATTTTAATAACAAAGTGCTGAAATCTAGTGGAGAACGCTGGAACTAGTTCACTAGTATACCAACTGGCCGGTAGGAGCGCTGTGAGCCATTAAGTGCAGTCACTCAGTAATTGTGCAGTAGTTTGTGTTTTGGTCAATCTTCAAAACTTTGAAAGGTATGTAAATTTCTTGATTTTAACTTACCATAACTAATAATAACTTAGTTCTAAGTATCGTGCATATGAATTAGAGGTTATTACCTACAGTTTAACACAGACTAGAATGTTCTAAGTCTTTTACATTTTATCTTGTAACCACGTGTTTTAAACTTGGAGATGTGTGTATTATGGCCCCCTAGGTAATATTTTCAATAGGTTTCAATATTTCCTCCCCCTCCCCCTCCTAGGGGGTCCCCCTAGGTTTCAATATTTGTGGTTTTTTTATTTTTCAGATGCCTAGAATCAGCTTAACACCTAAACCAGCCAGAAACAGGCAAATTTGGGACAAGGACAAAATGAAAGAAGCAGTAACAGCTGTCACTGAAAAGAAAATGGGTGTCAAAAAGGCTTCTAAACATTTTGATGTGCCTAAGACCACTTTAAGAAGATATGTTAAAGAGGCAAGTACATCTGAAGCCACTGAAGTTCACACAAAAAAGCTAGGTAGGAAACCAGCTATACCTGAAGAACTGGAAAATGAACTAGTGGAGTACCTGAAGTATATGGAGGCAAAATTTTACGGGTTCACTCGCTTGGATGTTCGTCGAATGGCTTACCAACTAGCAATTAGAAATGGGATTCAAACCAACTTTAGAAACGAAATTGCTGGCAGGGCTTGGTTGGACCATTTCCTTAGACAACACAAAGACAAGTTGTCAATCCGAAAGCCAACTGGAACATCATATGCTCGTGCAAAAGGTTTTACTCGTGAAAGAGTTAATGCCTTTTATGACTTGCTGGAGTCCGAATATTCAAAACACAAATACCCAGGTGACCGTATTTGGAATGTGGATGAAACGGGCCTGAGTGTAGTTCAGACAAAAATACCACAAGGTATTGCCAGTAAAGGTAAACGCCAAATATGTTCTCTAACTGCGGCAGAACGTGGATCTTTGGTCACAGTCATATGTTCAATGAGTGCAGGAGGATCTTATGTCCCTCCGATGTTGATTTTCCCAAGGATAAACATGTCTGATCTTCTTATGAAAGGAGCTCCTCCTGGGTCAATTGGAAGAGCTCACCCGTCTGGGTGGGTTCAATCAAATATGTTTAGAGACTGGTTAGCTCATTTTATTGAAAAAAAAAACCAACAGAGACCTCGCCCATACTACTTATCCTTGACGGTCACTTTTCGCACACAAGAAACATTGATGTGATCGATTTGGCAAGGAAAAATTACATCACGATATTGTCCTTACCATCCCACACAACACATAAATTGCAACCACTAGACCGCACTTTTATGGGAGCTTTAAAGACTCACTACAGTGAAAATATCCGACAGTGGATGCTTCACGAAAGTAGACCTGTTGGGCCTTACGATATTGCGTCCTTTTTGGGAAAGGCGTACCTCCGATGTACTACAGGAGTAAACGCTGTAAATGGATTCTGGGTCACAGGTATTTACCCCCTGGAAAGAAATATTTTTCAAGACCATGAATTCATTGCAGGGGAGGAGGAGGCACCAAACGAAAATCAGGCTGAGAACACTGATAACCGACTGCATGACACTCCTGCAGTTGAAGTCAATCCTCATCCACCAACAACCTTCGCTGTGTCTCCTAAAGACATTCACCCCGTTCCAGAAAAAAAGAAAAAATCAAACCGTGGACGAAAACCCTGCATCGCAAACGTCATTACTAGTTCTCCTTATAAAAGAGAGCTAGAAGATTTTCTGGCAAAAAAAGAAGCTGCTGCAAGTCGTCGTGGTCGTGGCCGTGGCAATGGCCGTGGCAATGGGAAAGGCACTGGAAGAGGTGCTTCAACAAGTGTCACTCGAAGTTTGACGTTTGTTAACCCCATACCATCTTGTCCCGGACCTCAAACTAGCGCTGTGACGTTTGATAACCCAATACCGTCTTGTTCTGGGCCTCAAGCTAGCCCTAAAGGACAAGCAGCCAAGTCTGACTGTACCCCACGTGCCAACGCTGGAAAATCAAAGAAGAACAACCCTAAACACAAACGTCCAGCTGACAGCAGTGACGACGACGATGATGATGATGATGATGATGACGAGATGCAGCTCTCCACTTGCTCCGGTGAATCACCTTTTGATCTATCAGTTGGAGAGCCTCAACCAAACCAAGATGACGCATCATGTATTTTTTGTGATGAAAAGTTCACCAACAGCGTGCGGGGGGAACTATGGGTTCAGTGTCTCATGTGTTCACTGTGGGCACATAATGAATGAGCAGGGGCAGAGAAGGATGAGTACGTCTGCGATTTCTGTCGTTGTTCGTCCATTATTACCATGTAGGACATTTTAATTTTGTAGACTAGACTATATCTACCTATACATACATATTATGCTGTATCAACTTATATACACTCTATCTACTTATGTATAATAAAAAGGTTTTTTGTTCAATGCAGTTATAATTTTCAGAATTTGCCAATATTTCCTTAAATTAATAAGGGGGTCCATATTACAAACACCATGGGGGCCATATTAACTGCACATTCCGTTTTCTGATGAATGTGTCAACTTTTAAAAAATTATTTAAAAAAAATGTAAAATGAAGTCTTAAACCGCTTTAACTATTACAATGTGTTCGGTAACTAACACCATATCGTAACTAAGCTAACAATCTCTGTTTTTTATTAATAATATCAATTTTACAATAAAAAATCAAAATGGGGGTCCATATTACCACCTTCTCCTCTAATATAATAAATACATGTTTATTTTTTTTTCAGGGATTCAATAAACAGGTAATAGTCGATAAAATTCCAACTAAACCTCTAAAAATTATAGGAACAAGCTGAATTTTGTTGAAAATGTCAATTTTGGGACCCAAAAAAATGCAAAAAAGTTACCAGTCCTACCCTCGGGTCTCCCAGTAAAACCCAGCCTCGTATTACAACCAAACATAAAACCAAAAACTAGAATTTCTTACCGATTCTTGTCCCCAATTTCTTACACATCTTACACAAAGTTAACAAACGACGGCAAAGTGTCCTTGGGCATTTTTCTCGATGTTCAAAAAGCCTTCGACCAAGTCTGACATGCTGGACTGGCCAAGAAACTGTTGAACATCGGCCTGCCCCTCTCTTTCATTAGACTTCACGTCTAATTACGATGAAAGTGCGAGGTCATTTCTCAGATTCTTTTACTCCTACAGCAGGAGTACCACAAGGTTCAGTGTTGGCTCCTATATTATACACAATATACAACAGTGTCGGTCAGATAGCTCAGCGGGCTGTGCGGCTGCCTCTCATTCGCTTCACTGTCGAATGGTTTAGTGGATGTGGGATCGAGCCAAGCTCGGTGTACAGAAAACAAAAAGTCTAACGCAGCAGTTTAAAATTCTAGATGAATTTGCGGCTTAGACTAGGATATGCTGGGATCTGATCGGCCTATGGTGGAGCAGTACGGCAAGAGATACGGGCTTGCGGCTCGGTGATACTCCTCCATAGATCCCTACCGGACAGGCATAACGCCTAAAAAACCGGATATATATATATATATATATATATATATATATATTATATATATATATATATACAACAGTGACTTCCCCAACCCACGATACACCAAAACAACCACTTTGCTCTACGCAGACGATACCGCTCTCGTAATAACATCACGAGACGTAAATACAGTACTTAGGTGTGTTCAAAATCACCTTAACCTGGTCGACAGGTGGTGCAGGAGATGGAGAGTAACACCTAACCCAAATAAAACACTAATGATTCTCTTTAAGACACCCCAGTCGCAGCAGATTCATCATACCGATTAAGACCAGAAGAAACGACCTTAGACTTTGGGGGGACCCACTACAGCTCCTCGACCAGATTGAGTACCTCGGTGTGGTGTTTACACAAACACTAAACTGGAGGACCGATCTGGACATAGCCTGAAACAAGGCTAGGAGCAGAGTCGGTCTACTCAATGCTCTTTGTGGAAAGTTCGGAAGGACACACTCACGTACACTTATACATACATACAAAACATTCATTAGGGCGGTGATAGATCCAACATCTACATGGCGATGCGCCGCCTCCTACACTAGAACCTGTGTGTGGTGTACACCTACACCACACTAAAACTACTGAAACTGGAAAGGGGAATCCTGCGTAGAGTGAACAACAAACGACGTGACTACCCCTCCACCATTATTCGTTACCTGTCGAATATCCAGCCCATCAATAAGAGGCTCTCCTCTCTGAGCAGTAGTTATACAATCAAAACCATCCGTGGCCAAAACTTCAGAGCCCAAAATATACTGAAAACTACCTGCTCATCCATCGGCAATGTATTCAAAAGAAAACCTAAACCTAAACTCCCTTTATGGCCCTTGTCAGCAACGAACTGCCTGATGAAAACATTGACATCATGGAGGCAACTCCCCTCTACTACCGTCGCATTGATCGGTTTTCTGCGGTTTCCTAATCCCATTGCACAATGATACCTGTCTGCTGCAGAGGTTACAGCCACAGCTGCCCTTACGCGATCCGCGTGATAAATTTCTTAATTCATAAACATATTTTTTAGCAAAAAGATTTCTGAAAAGGACAGTTAACTCAACAAGCCTTTTATGATTGTCTGATTGTCCAGGACGCTCCTCCGCCGACAAGTCCACGAAACCAACCACCAGTAGAACCCACACAGCCAGAAAAGGAAAACCATCAACCAAACAAACAAATAAACCACGTCCTGAAGAGGTGCAAAACCTATATGTGACGTCATCTCGCAATATCTCCTCCCCAAATAACCTAACCAAACAAATTTGACACCTGTCACTTCCTAACACGTTTTAGCTGCGTTTAGTTTTAAGATTTTTGTACACATTTTTGTACGATTTGTGATTTCTTTATTTTTATAATTCAAGTGATTTTTGTAAAGAGGTAGTTATAAATATGCCAGAGGAAATTAAGTGCTGAATATTGAACCAATTTTTAAAATATTACCCTTCTAGAACTCCGATTAAAATTAATCCATTATTTTATATAATTTTCAATATAAACGAATATTTTTAGTTCGTCTCTACTCATCGATCCCGCATACGTGTTATATCATAGTAAAAATTAGACTATTTACTTTCATTAGACTAAGCGGGATCTGTAAAAATTCAGACCATAATGGACATTTTCCATAGGAAGCTATTTTTTTGCTGCTTCAGGATGGGCCCAATATCGATAATCACGATATGCGCCAGTCGCAAACTCTGTGCTAAATTTTTTATTTAACAAAATCTGAAAACAATTGAAAATTTCTTATTTTTTTGCTCTATTTTCGTTTATAATTCGGAAAATATTGATCTAGAGGAAAAATTATAAGAGTTAAAAGTTTTGTTATTCAATTTTACACAATATGTCGTTAGCTATAAATTGAAAATTTAATGTTTATTGTTGAAAAAAATAGCAATAATTGGAAAAAAAGTACAAAAAAATTAAGTTAATCCTTTAAATGTTTTCGACTTTTTAAACTTTACTTACAAGCTCCATATTCCGCCTAGAAAAACTTTTTAATATGTTTAAAACGTGTGCTAAATTTTTTTAAGATCGGTCGGATAGGTTTTGCATAATAATTTTGCAATCCAGCCTACTGGAAAAAAAATCGCAAATTTTCAAATTTATAGTAGGTCCTAAATAAGGCCCTCAGATAGTTGCGATTTTTTTTTAAATAAAGGAAGGCTCAAGCTTTCAAAACGCTTTATGTAAAATTCAAATCGGTTCACTAGGAGAGCCTAGAAATTTTTTAAAAGTTTTAAACATTTTTTAGGCTATAGACAAATTCAATAATTTAATAAAACTGGAGAAATTAATTATTTTAAAAAATTTGATTTTTACAAAAAAAAAAAAAAAAATTCGTTCGCCTTTGTTTTAACAATTCAAATTATTACTGTTATTATATATTGTTACTTTTAGGTAAACAAATATGTATTTATTAAATGTTAATAAAATAATTTGAATTGTTAAAACAAAGGCGAACCATTTTTTTTATTTTGTAAAAATCAAACTTTTTAAAATAATTAATTTCTGCAGTTTTATCATAATAATGACACTATTTGATTTGAGAATATATTTTGATTCGAAAATG